CCGTCAAGTCTGTCAAAGTTTATCTGTTTATTTGCCATTGTATTTTATTTGACTTCACAGTTTCACTTCTCACACTTGCAGTACTTCCCACGTTCTGATACTCATGTTGATTACACTTTAGCATATTTACTGTAGAAATTCAGGAGATAATTTGAAGAAACTTTTAGTGGATGATATTCCTTTAAAAAGTTATGTTTATTGTGATTTTGAAGTGAATATAGATAAACTGTCTTTAGAAAAAGAAATCTTAAATTCACTTTTTTAAAAACCACACGGAGTTTGCAGTTGGTGGTAAATGTTCGGTGCGTGGGAAAGCTGAAGCAGCGGAGTCCAGTTTACACAAGCTTCCTGTGTGTGCTCCTCCAGTTACATCTGCTGCAGGAGTTAAAGCTCCCATGTTTCTAGTCACTGCTGAAATTTCAAATTTGAAACATACTGTGTCTATACCAAAGGAACAAAACTGAAATTTATGTATGTAATTATCTAACTGAATCACCTTCATAGTATTCACTGTTTCACAGAAGTTACTCTGCTGTATCACTCATGTAAAATCACACATAATTAGAGTTTCCTAAAGCTCCATCATGCTTAGTTACTACAGGTTTCAGTTTTAAAAATCTAAGTATATAATCGTAGAAGTTGAAGCTCTACTTATTAGTTCACAGCTCGTCAACATTTCAGTTACTAGAACTTGCATCTTGTTTTCTTAGCCACTCTATTTAAATACATTACTTTGATCATAAGGGTAACTATATACTTAGTCTTAACTCACTCCTTAAGTTTCCGCCATAATTTGTTTAATCATTTCCCTTTAAGTTTCATCTACTTTTAAGTTTCAGAGTTTCCTTATGTACAACTTTGTAATGAGCATAATGGGTTTATATATTATTTTGAATACGTAATTAGCCTTGAGGAAAAAGAAATAATTATAAGAAGATGGAGATGTATGTTGAATCTTAAGATTCCTAGAGTGATAACTGTACTTTTCAGGACCCAAGAGTTAATGATACTGATAATTTATATGTAATTTCATTCAAAAGTGATGATGTCGCTTCTTGATGGAGATTCAGCACTACTTCTGTCTGGTCAGATAGGGTCAGTGTCACTTAAGAAAAGGACGACAGTTTTCCTAAAGAAACTATCAAGAGTTGAAAAGAGGAGAGGGAAGAGTGCGTGTGTGTGTGTTGGTTGGAGGGGGTGGGTAGGGGGCTGAAGACTGTGGGTCACTTTGAGTTATGTGATAGAAGGTTCTAGAGAGTCTCTGCCCTCCATGAAGAATCTTTGACACAAGAGAACCCTTTTGCTATTTGGAGCCTTTTAAATGTATAAGGCAAAAGGAAGAAAAAGTATGACAACTCAGTTGTATCAATGGGGGACTGTAAATCAGATGTTCAAGACTTAAGAAAGAGCGCTGACTATGCTTTCGTGCCACTGCAGGAACACCTTTGCAGTGTGTGAACATACTGACGCTGGGCTTACTCGGCACTTGCTTACTTGTTTTCTCTCTCCTCTCTGTGTGTGTGTGTCTCCCTGTTCAGATCTGAAAAGTAGAGATGAAAAGATGCAAACGTGTCATGTTAAATCAGATCAGTTATTGGGAGTAATTGGACAATAAAAAACTAACAAATATTAATTCATTTGATTTAAGGGACTAGTCTAAGCTTTGTCAGTTTGTGACTTTCAATTTATATTTCTTTTGATAAGTTTCATAGGAGAATTTACAAAGGAATCCCACTCCAGCTCAGAGGTGAAGTCTGGGCTCTACTCCTGGAGATCCCTAAAATGAAGGAAGAAACAAGAGACCTTTATAGTGTGAGTATTGAGAACCAGCCTGTTAATTTGAAATTCAAAATTAGAGTATAGTTGATTTATAATGTTGTGTTAGTTTCTGGTGTACAGCAAAGTGATTCAGAGAGATACCTATTCTTTTTCATATTCTTTTCCATTATGGTTCATTACAGGATAATGAATATTGTTCCCTGTGTTATACAGTAGAATCTTGTTTATCTGTTCTATATGTAGCAGTTTCTATCTGTGATTTGCAAACTCCTAGTTTATCCCTTTACCCCCTTTCCCTTTGGTAAACATTAAGTTTGTTTTCTATGTCTGTGAGTCTGTTTCTATTTTGTAAATAAGTTCATTTGTATCATATTTTACATTCCACATATAAATGAACGGTATTTGTCTTTCTCTGACTTTCTTCACTTAGTATGATAATCTCTAGGTCCATCTATGTTGCTGCAAAGGGCAATATTTCATTCTTTTTTATGACTGAGTAGTATTCCATTGTGTATCTGTGTGTGTGTGTGTGTGTGTGTGTGTGTGTGTGTGTGTACACACATACATATATACCACATCTTCTTTGTTCAGTCATCTGTCAATGGACTTTTAGGTTCACCTGACACGGGTTAGAATGGCCATCAGTAAAAAGTCCACAAATGATAAGTGCTGGAGAAGGGTGTGAAGAAAAGGGAACCCTCCTACACTGTTGGGGGGAATGTAAATTGGTGCAGCCACTATGGAAGATAGTATGGAGGTTCCTTAAAGAACTGAAAGTAGTTACCATGTAATCCAGCACTCCCACTCCTAGATACTTGCTTTTAATGTCGTAACTTTAGACCCAGTGTTGAAAACGCTGTCTGAGAGAACATACATGAAATCTAACCCCAGCACCTAGGACACTGTACCTGTTATACGGTAGGTGCTCAGGAATTACTTGTTTAATTAATGAAAGAAGAAAACTTATTTAGCATGCTGTGGTAGTTCTCTCAGGCCACCATAACAAAGTACCACGGACCGAGTGGCTTAAAACAACAGAAGTTTGTTGTCTCGCAGTTCTGGGGGAGAGAAGCCTGAACCCAAGGTGTCATCAGGACCGTGTTCTCTCTCGAGGCTCCAGGGAAGACTCCTCCCTTGACTCTTCCTCCGTCCTGCACTTGCCAGCATCCCTGGCCTTCTTTGTCTTGAGGCTGCATCACTCCAGCCTCTCCCTCCCTCTTCACGTGGCCTTGCCCTGTGTGTCTCTGTGTCGCTGGGTCTCACCTTACAAGGATACTAGTCATTGGATTTGGGGTCCACCCTGATCCAGTATGTCCTCTTAACTGAGTACACCTGGAAAGACCCCATTTCCAAATCAGGTCACATTCACAGGTTCTGGGCAGACACGAATTCGGTGGGGGGGGCATTATTCAACCCAGTGCACATGCTAATATTAGAACTGTGGTTCTCAGTTACATTTTAGACTTTCTCTGCGTAGAATAAAGTTATCCAATGAGTGGTTAACATGAGAGAACCATTCAGTGAAAACCAGTCATACAGTAACAACAACAAAAGAAAGGACTTGCCCACCGGTACTTGCAGGCTTATCATTTTCAATAATACCATAAACGTTATTTTTACTGTTTGAGATTCCTCCAGCATTTCACCAAGCCTTCCCTTCCCAGTCACCGTCTTACTCTCTCTTTTCAAATGTGGTATAAATTGCTCTCCTTAAGTTGGAAGTTCAGTGGGCATGGAACAACTTTTTCTTAATCTGCTGAGCTTTTTCTCGCACGGTGAGATGTGCTGGCTCCTGAGCTGGGGCTCTTACCCACTCCTTTCTCCTGTTCTTTTCATTGTATCTCACTGTCGCTTGTCTCTACTGGGTCTAGTGGTCCGTCTTACAGGTGAGCAAGGTCTGCCTCTAGTTGTGAGCAGCGTACCTGCAGCCTTAACCCGGCCCAATCATCCGTCTCCAACCAAAATGAAAATCTACTCTATTGACAGGATGGGGTGAGAAGAGGTGGTGGGAGGAGGGAGAGGTTGGAAGTAGGAGAGATGTGGGCACGGACCAGAGAGAGACCTGTAACTGTGTACCTTGTTACATTGTTTGCATTTTTGAACCATGGAAATAGCTTTACTAAATCAAAAAAAGAAAAAGGTTTTTAATGAGAACTATTTTACTGTTCGTCATAGGGTTTTCAACAACTGACTTCCATAAAAATGTGCTTTCTTCCCTTCTTTTTCCTTTT